TGGGGTTTTTTGAAAAAGGTGTGTGGGAGTGTGGGATGGGCATTGCGTAAAAAGGGGTTAGGGAAGCACTGGGTGGGGAAATAACTGAGGGGGAAATATGGAGGGCTTTAAGTGGAATGCGAAAGGGCAAAGCACCGGGAATTGATGGACTCCCGGCAGAGTTTTATCAGCAGCATTGGGAATTATTGAGGCATTTTCTGGTTAGGTTATTAAATTGCATGAAGGAGAGAGGTGAGCTGGGTGAGAAGCAGGCAATGGCTGTCGTTGTATTGGTACCGAAGGGTAAGGGGCAGCATACGCTTTGGGATTACTGGGCGATCTCGTTGTTATGCGCAGATTATAAATTGTTTGTGAAGATTTTGTGAAATCGGGTCAAGTGTGTGGTGGGGCGGGTAGTATCAAAAACTCAGTTTGGTTTGCCAGGGAGGTCTATGGTGGAGGGGCATGGGTTACTTAGGGATTTCGTGGAGGCAAAAGGGGGGGGAGGGAGGGAGGTTTGGTGGCGCTCGATTGGCAAGGGGCATACGATAGAGTGGATCGGAAAGCATTGAAAGCCATCCTCAGGGGTCAGGGGTTTGGGGAAGAAATAGTGGGCTGGGTTGAGGCGTTGTATGAAGGTGCAATGGCGAGGGTACAGATTAATGGTCGATTGGGTGGGAAGATTGTAATGGGTAGGGGACTTAGGCAGGGGTGTCCTATGTCACAATTATTGTTTGCGTGCGTACAGGACCCCTTTTATAGATTGATGGAGCAGCGTATGTGTCACGTAGTGGGACCAGGGTGTGAGGTTGCGAGGGTTTGGCCAGTTTTAATTGGGTATGTGGATGATACAACTGTTCTGATCAGGGAGGGGATGTCAATGGACACATTAGACGTGGTAGTACAAATGTTCGCAGGGGCAACTGGTATGAGGGTAAATTCAGATAAATCCATGGTCATGGGGTTAGGAGCTTGGGCGGGTAGGGTTGATTGGGGTAGTGCAGTTGTGAGGAGGCAGGTGAATTCGTTAAAAATCTGCGGTCTTATTTATGCAGACGATCTACCTGTGGCACGCATGGAAAACTCGCTTAGGATGGTAGAAAGGATTCAGGGACGCTTGGGTGCATTGCGACCTTATCATTTGACCCTTGTGCAGCGTGCCATTGTTATTAATATCTTACTGTATAGCAAAGTATGGCACGTGGCAGCCGTGTTCCCATTAACTGGGCCAGCAATAACGAACATACTTAGGAAGGTTTTAAATTCTTGTGGGGTTCGAGCTGTGATTGGATTAAGAGGGATGTGGTAATGTTACCTGTAAGTAAGGGGGGGCTGGGATTGCTGGACTTAAAGCGGAGGGTCAAATGTGTCTTCATTAAAAGGAAGGTGATGAGGGAAAGTGTGGGTGGGGGAGGTTTGGCCAGGATCCATAACAGATTGCAACGGATGTATACAGGAGTTGAGTTGCATGAGTGTGAAACTGTGTTGAGGGCTCTGGCGTGGGATCGAGAGCCAGCAAAGGTTAAAATAGGTAGGTTGTGTAGATTGTTAGCCGGGACTGTTGTAGCGCCTGTAGAGGGAATTTTCCCCATGTATGCATGGGGAAGTATATGGAATAGGTTGAGTAGGATGAGGTTGCAACCTCGTGTTCGGGATGTAATGTATCGTTTTCTGCACAGCATTTTACCGTCGGGTGTGGTTCTACGAGATAGACGAGTCGTTGACGGGGGGAAGTGTGGGATATGTGGTGGGGAGGAGTCGGCTTTTCATGTAGTATATTTTTGTGATGGACTGAGGAGTGTCAAGGGGTGGTTAAATAGGGTGATAAATAGGATAGGAGGTAAAGGAATTTCTGTATTGAGAGCATTAAGTCTCGACGTGGGGGGGTTGGGAGGAACGTGTAATCAGAGCTGTGGGATACATTATGGCAGATTATATCTATATAGTGTGGGGATTGCGGGGGAAACAGGTTACTGAGGTGAAGAGGAGGGTGTTAGCGTTAACGTTCTATAAAACGGTATGTAGAAATAAGGAAATTTATGGGAGGAGGTGGGTGAAGGATTTTTCAGAGGGATATAGGCAACTTACGTTACAGGTTTTATTAGACTTGTAATATACGAGGGAGGGGAGGGTATGATTGGAAAGTGTTGCTGGGGTAGGGAAGTCAGGGGTGAAAACAGGGTTGCCTCCCTGGTAACTGGATAACAAAATGTTTGCGAGAGTGTTGGATGAGTGATGCGTGAGTGAATAATATGTGGACCACGGGTGCTAGCACCTGTGGAGCTGGCCAGTTTTTGTGTGACTGGACTTTACACTTATTATACATATTGTGTGTGGTAATATTGATTTACGGTAATGACATTGTAATTTGGAGATTTGCTATAATAATTGCATGTATTTGTTCCAACTTATTTTCTAGGTGCCTTGCACTGCATAGTGTTGATGCTGTGATCATGCACGGTGTCCAGAGATATGATGTGATATGTTTGTATTAATGTCTGTGCATTATTGTTCGTCACTGGTGTTCTGCAATTTTCAGTTTTGTTTTGAGAGTAAAGAGGTTAATGCACATCAGATGGTGTAAATAAAGTTGGGCAACAGTGGTGTTATAGGTTTTTGTGGTTAGGTGCGTGCTAGGCACAGTATTTATGTGTTACTTATGTCATGGTTATTTTATGTTGTATTGTATGTTGTCAATAGCACTATGTAATGTCCATGTAAGCTGTATAGAGCTTGAATGTCATAGTTGAAGCTGTGTTATTGTTTTAACACTGGAATTGCATGTTTAAATGTGTAGAGGCTTACTGTGTTGGGATTTTGGACTAAGTTTATTCTTATGGTTTTATAGTAATTTTGTATGGGCTTTGTGACTTTTCTATATCACCATTGTTGTGTAATTACATATTGTTATGTAACTGAACCATTAGGACAATTACATAAATAATGTTTTGATCATTGCTGTGTGACTTGATTAGGTAACATTCATTGTTTATAGTATGTTAGGTTGTAAATAGTGGGGTGGTTGGATAACCACGGGGGGGGGGGGTAATATGTCTGTATAATATGTTCAGTGCAATGAACTGCATGGTCTGTAGTCGATTATTAAGTACCATTTCGAGGGATGTGTATATAAAAGTGTTGTTCATATCATGTAATTCTGTTGGGTAGCTCCAACAGGTTTGTGTTAAGTGATAGGATGAAGGAGCAGGGAGGGGGGGGGGTGAACCCACACGGAGTTGTAAGTGTGGTGTGTAATATTAGCTGTAGGGAGGATTGTGTTAATTTATAGACTTAAATGAGTTTTACATATTATATTTTGTAATGTCATGTTTTAAATAAAATATAAAAAAAAAAAAAAAAAAAAAACTAGTTCAGCCATCAAAACTTTGGAGCCCGGTCCCTGGACCCATTGTGTACCTCTGTAATCTGTAAATACCTTTGTAACTTGTCATGATTGTGACTAGACCTACCTGGAGTTCATTACCTTTGTAAATTGTGAGTTCATTACCTTTGTAAATTGTGAATTCATTACCTCTGTAACTTGCTCAGCTATCAAAACTTTGGAGTCCAGTCCCTGGACCAATTATGTACCTCTGTAATCTTTTGACTACCGCCCACAGGATGGGTATGGGGTGACTACCGCCCACAGGATGGGTATGGGGTTAACTACCGCCCACAGGATGGGTATGGGTGACTACCGCCCACAGGATGGGTATGGGGTGACTACCGCCCACAGGATGGGTATGTGGTGACATACCGCCCACAGGATGGGTATGGGGTGACTACCGCCCACAGGATGGGTATGGGGTGACTACTGCCCACAGGATGGGTATGGGGTTGACTACCGCCCACAGGATGGGTATGGGGTGGACTACCGCCCACAGGATGGGTATGGGGGTGACTACCGCCCACAGGATGGGTATGGGGTGACTACCGCCAACAGGATGGGTATGGGGTGACTACCGCCCACAGGATGGGTATGGGGTGACTACCGCCCACAGGATGGGTATGTGGTGACTACCGCCCACAGGATGGGTATGGGGTGACTACCGCCCACAGGATGGGTATGGCGTGACTACCGTCCACAGGATGGGTATGGGGTGACTACCGCCAACAGGATGGGTATGGGGTGACTACCGCCCACAGGATGGGTATGTGGTGACTACCGCCCACAGGATGGGTATGGGGTGACTACCGCCAACAGGATGGGTATGGGGTGACTACCGCCCACAGGATGGGTATGGGGTGACTACCGCCCACAGGATGGGTATGTGGTGACTACCGCCCACAGGATGGGTATGGGGTGACTACCGTCCACAGGATGGGTATGGGGTGACTACCGCCAACAGGATGGGTATGGGGTGACTACCGCCAACAGGATGGGTATGTGGTGACTACCGCCCACAGGATGGGTATGGGGTGACTACCGCCCACAGGATGGGTATGGGGTGACTACCGCCCACAGGATGGGTATGGGGTGACTACCGCCCACAGGATGGGTATGGGGTGACTACCGCCCACAGGATGGGTATGGGGTGACTACCGCCCACAGGATGGGTATGGGGTGACTACCGCCAACAGGATGGGTATGGGGTGACTACCGCCCACAGGATGGGTATGGGGTGACTACCGCCCACAGGATGGGTATGGGTTGACTACCGCCCACAGGATGGGTTATGTGGTGGACTACCGCCCACAGGATGGGTATGTGGTGACTACCGCCCACAGGATGGGTATGTGGTGACTACCGCCCACAGGATGGGTATGTGGTGACTACCGCCCACAGGATGGGTATGGGGTGACTACCGCCCACAGGATGGGTATGGGGTGACTACCGCCCACAGGATGGGTATGTGGTGACTACCGCCCACAGGATGGGTATGTGGTGACTACCGCCCACAGGATGGGTATGTGGTGACTACCGCCCACAGGATGGGTATGGGGTGCATAATAAACATATTAAACTAACTAACAGTTTGTGTCAGTACAAAGATAAACGTTCAGTGTGTATTTTTTCATTAGCTGCCTGACTGCGGTGGAGTGAGGTTGTGCACAGCACCCCTCTGCTGTTTGTCAGGAGAGCTCTCATAGCAACAATATGGCGCTGAGTATCCGACGTAGGATAAACACTGTCGGCGTTGAGCTGCTTCGTGGGGCGATTTCCCCCTCTACGGCGCAGGTGTTACTTCCGGCAATCATCCGGGAAACGTACGGAGTGCAGGATGATGAGGTTTATGGTGTGGCCCTGAATGGGGCCTATCGTCTATTCGTCAAGTTAAATTCGACGGCTGTGTACGAGTCGTTGGTGACGAAATTTGAGCATGTGAGTATTGATGTAACTCCAGCTGTCAAAGTGCGACTCATAGACGTCTCTCGCCACTATACGTGGGTGAAGTTGCGAAATGTCCCCTTCGAGGCTGACGAGGAGGACTTACGGAAGGTGTTTGCTGCTTATGGTACCGTGCATCTGGCAACCCAAGGCAAGTGGGCGGCAGGTGCGTACATGGGACGTCCGGAGGGTACATTCTCCCTCAAAATGACACTGAGGCACCCGATTCCGTCATACGTCGTGATGCCGGAGTTTAGGACCCAGATTCTAGTGGTGTATGCTGGGCAGCGACGGACATGCAGGTTGTGTGGGGAGTATGACCATATGGCAGCGACATGTGGGAGGCAGTGGAGGGCGCCGGCGCAAACAGGTGGAGCACCAGTTACAGGTGTGGATGTCGTGGAGGAGAATTCCAAAGGAAATCGAGGAGATGGCCGTTTGTGGAGTGACATTGTGGAAGAGTCTCTTGTGGTGCATGATGGGCGTGGCACGAGTTGTGTGGAGCCAAAAATGGCCACTTTGCCGGTGACGGGGGAGGACGTGCTAATTCAGCAGGAGGTGCAAGAGCTGGAGGAGGAGCTCGACGAGGTATTAAAAAATTTACCTTCTTCGGGCGAGGATAATGGCTTGGTCCGTGAAATGGTGCCTGAGTTGAAAGGAGAGTGTGGAGGGACAGGCACGAGAAGGACGGAGGACAACTGCAGGCACAGAGAGGAGTCACCGAGCTCTGTGCGACAGGTCACAGTAGAGGTTGATATTCACTGTGAGGAATCTTCGGAAGACAGTATGGCGGTAGAGAGTGTCACGAGGAAGAGGGCGGCTGCGTCAGACTCAGATGATGTCCTGACACCCGCGCAGAGGTCTGGGAGGAGGGATGTATATTTTCGTGACAGCCAGGATAAGAGGCATCGAAAAGGGGGGGGGTGGATGGTGACAAACCACATGTTGACCCTGGGGCAAGAGGCCCTGGGAAGGGTGAGAGGAGAAAGGATTGGAAGCTTTAGAAAGGCCTTAAATGCATGACTGTGAATGTGAATGGACTGTGTACTGGTATGAAGAGGGAATGCTTTCGTATGTTCTTACATCGATACAGAGTGGACGTAGTCTTTCTACAGGAGCATAATTTCAGGGAGGGTAAAGTGCTCGAGGTGGAAGGGTATACGGTGTTGACTCTGCCATCGGCACGTTTGAAAGGTGGTGTGGGTTTATTGATAAAGGAGGCGAGCCCGTTTGTGTTGCAAAGACGTGAAGGGGGTGGGGGGGGAGGGTGTTGCGTGTGGATGGGTGGTGGATGGGGCAGAGGGTAACCTTTGTAAGTGTGTATGCACCAGCTGAAAATGATATGAAAGTAAAGAGGGATTTTGTGTGTGATGATCTAGTTTTTGCTTTCCGTGGTTTACCTGAGGTGGCCATCGTAGGTGGGGACTGGAATTGTGTGATCAGGAGAGCGGATGTGGAACCTCGAGGGGCGGGCATATGTTGACAGCATTACGCAATCTATTGGTGGACGTTCAGTTGAGGGATGTGGTAGGTGGGGGAGCGTGAGAGGTGGAGCATACTTTCGTGAGGCGAGGTTACGCGGCTAGGTTAGACAGGTTGTATATATCTCATAAGGTAGTGTCAAAGTCTGTCCGTACTATTGACCTAGCTTTTTCAGATCATAGGGCGGTTGTCGTAGAAGTAGAGTGGGATTCTCTAGCTTGTATCTCTAGGGGATATTGGAAATTAAATACGAGTCTGTTGGAAGATGAGGAGGGGTTGGGGGGTTTTCGGGAGCTGTGGGAGAGATTAACTGAGGAGGTACAAGGTGTGGAGGACGTGGTGACGTGGTGGGATGGTGTGGCTAAGGACCGGATTCGGCATTATTACGTGCGGGAGGGGAAAAGGATTAATTCTTTAAAATTTGGGTTGATTAATTATTTGGAGGACAGGTTACGAGGTTGTTATGTAAAAGGGACAGTAGAGGGTGTCTATCCGATGGACAACATTATGATACTTAAAGAGCGGTTGCGGGAAATTCAGGACGAGCGGTTCCAAGCGGTGAGAGTAATGGCGGGGGTGGAGGAGGTGTTATGGGGGAGATAGGCCGTCTTCGTGTGTGTTGCGCAGACAAAAACAACGTCGGCAGGCAACAGCTATTCCATGTTTGGAGGTTCTTGAGTCGGTGGGTGGGTATAGGGCGGGTCAGGTAATCCACACTACAGGATGGGATGGGGTTGTTTGCGGATACGTGGTACGAAAAGTATTGGCGGGGAAGGGTAGGATTAGGGGATTTAGAGAGGGTGTGTGGAAGTGTGC